GCAGCCCGTGCCCCGCCGCCCGCCGCCGCCTGCCCGGGGGGCTCTGGTGCTGCCCCCAGCCATGAGCCCTTCTGTTTTCCCCTGGTAAAGATGGCGGTGGGCGATCGCTGCAACCTTTAGACTCATGACTGTCAGAAACATCGCCTCCATCTGTAATATGGTGAGTACCCGCAGGGCCGGGCCGGGAGGGGGCGGGCGGCCGAGGGTACTCGGTCCCACTCGGTTCCCACTCCGACCCCAATGCCCCGGGGGGGGGGCTGCCTCCCGCTGCCCCCTGCCCCTGGCGCCAGGACCTCCAAGAAAGAGAGGCCCGACTCAGGATCCTAAATCCCTGGGTAGGCTCCTAGAGTAGGCAGCTTCATTTCCCAAACAGCCATCCCCCTGCGCTGCAGTCACCCACACTCACTTGTTTCACCAAATCCAGGTGCTTCTTTAAGCACCTCATTATGGACTTGGGCACCGGCTTTAAAATCTTAGCTGTGGGTCCAGGTCCGCCTGCTTAGTCTACCCCCTGTAAGGCATTTCCAAACCCCCACCCAGCTGGGATTTCAGTGGATGCAAATGGGCATTGCTTTCAGCCCCATATGATCCTTGTAGTGCATTTTGAAACACGTCAGCTTTACCGTGGTCTTCTAAAAGATCCCAAAAGTGCATTTAAACAGGAACATTTTGTCTCTGTTCTGTTGGGTCCTTGCCCTCCGCAGCCCCACTGCTCGAGGACAGGGAGGGTTCTGCAGTGTACATTCAAGTATACTTTTCATTTTGACACTGTGACTGTCAAGGCTTGTTTATTAGGCCACGTTGCCTGTGGATTTTTAAGATGTTTGTTATCTGGGGGCTCTAAGACTTTCTGGCGAGCGATTTATTCAGTAATTCTAGAATGAAAGCAGTCAAACAAAATAAATCCATGTCAGGAGGAAGTGTTAAATGTCCAAAACAAATAGGGCAAGTGCACATTCCAGCACTTTGTTGTTTTAGTTTATGCTTTTCCCCCTTGTTTTCAGGTTCTTCAAGAGCAGTTACTTGCAGTCGCCAGCTTCCCTCCATGTGGTGCCCCAGCATACCCTTTGCTGGTGATGTCACACCTACCATTCATCAGCACTGGAGAATGGAGCCTACCTATAGGGTAAGGCAGTGGTTCTCAACCTCTGAGTTGTGACCTCCATGGGGGCCACCAGCAGTTGTTCAAGGGGGATGAGGGTTGTGAGCCTGCTCTCAGTCTGGGTCCAGTCTTCCACTGAAGTGGGTTTGCTTGCAACCAGTCATTCTTGGATGCCAGGAGCACCCCACCCACAGTTCTACCAGGTCCTCACTACCTCCTTTGAAGCACCTGTGCTGAGGTGCATTACTGGAGGACTGGACTTGGATCATACTATGAAAAAGGTTGAGAATCCCTGGGGTAAGATAATCTGGGTTCTTACCTTTCCTCTCCAATATTATGTGATTTTTCTAAAGTTTTTATTGCACTTATTTTTTTTAACCACATGGGACAGGAGGCAAGCATATTGCAAAGAAATATTTAGGAAACCATGCGGTATTGGGGGAGAAAAACCTGGATTTACTTACCTTACCCTATAGGCAGCATTCAGTTTATATTGTTGATGAATGGTGGATGTGATCACCATAAAAATGCATAACAAAGCATCACATGAAGGGAAGCTGGAGATTGATAGCTGGTTACAAAGATTTAACATTGGCATGCAGCCTTAAGAAACCTCTGTTTTCATAACACGTGCCCAGATTTTTCCATATAGACAAGCTTTTGCATAATATTTCTCCCTCGGGGTCTAGGAGGGCATCACACAAAACTGAACTAGGCCTGCATTAATTCAGGCTAGTGCTGCTCTTACTACTATCAATAGACATCTGCAAAAGTAGCATTTTAATATAATGGAGGAATTAAAGAGGGCAATGAAGCAGTCAAACAGAAAAGGGGGAACAAGAACAGAACAAGTGAGAACAACTCATACTTCAGGACTAAGTTTGGTTCCTTACTCTCTTCCTGGTGTCCTGGGTGACAAGAATGTGGAAGGAGCAGACTCAGCCTTTGAGGAAAGGATGCATTTGTATTCAGCATGGGTAACACAAAGTGTAAAAATACTACAATTCAGATATCTACATGTCATAAGCTTGATGCAAAAATAATGGTTTTTAAAAGGAAATGAATATTGGGATTGTTGTATTCTGCTTTTTGCATCTTTGGGTGATTCTAGTTCTGTTTACAAGCTTTTACCACTATAGCCACAGAGGTTAGAACCTCTTTTGGGAAAAAAAGAAAGCTGAGATTCTTGCAGCATTCCAGGAAGCGAAGAGAATTTAAGAAAGACATAAAATACTATAAGAGTTGGTGACGCTGTAGTTACTGGACCTCTGAAAATGAGCTCATCTGCTTGAAGGAGCTATATCAGTGGACCCTAGCGGAACCTAGGTCAACCCTAAATAAGATGACTTCTGTGATACATACTCTGTTGCAGGGGGAGCCAAGAGATCTAAAAGACTCCCAAAAAGAAGAAAACAAAATAGTAAGGTGGAGAAAGAGTAATACAAATAAGGATGTCATTAGCAGAGGCACTACCAGTACAAAGGAGAAAGCATTAGTGCCATTGTTCAAGGGACTGGTAAGATCTCATCTAGAATAATTTGTAAAATTCTGGTCACCCATGTTCAAGAAGGAGGAATTCAAACTGCAACAGGTATAGAGAAGGGCTACTATGATGATCACTGGAATGGAGAACCTATTTAGTGAGAGGAAACTAAAAGATCTTCGCTTGCTTAGCCTTGTAAAACAAAAGCTGTGTGGATATAACTATGTGCTACACTCACTAGCACCATGACTGAAAGAGATTTGGGGGTCATGACTGACCCCAAGACGAACATGAGCCACCAATGCAATGCCACAGCTGGCAAAGCAAACAAAACTGGCTTGCATCTACCAATGCATCTCGAGCAAGACTTAGGAAGTCATCCTCCCACTTTACTTGGCCTTCATGAGGCCGCAGCTGGAGAACTGCATCCAATTCTGGGCTCTGCACTTTAGAAAGGATGTGGAAAAGCTTGAGAGAGTCTAGAGGAGAGCCATGCACATGATTAGAGGAGAAGAGGGTAGACTTTATGAGAACAGGCTGAGAGGCATGGGACTTTTCAGCCTGGAGAAGTGAAGGCTCAGGGGTGACTTGGTAGCAGCCTATAAGCAGGTCTGGCCCATCGTACCCTGTGGAACCTGCGGCCTCAGGGGGCCCCACAGCCAAGGGGCCCCCTGTGGCCGGTAACATTTCTAA